TGATTTATGTACTTCATTTAAATCTCGTATGCCATTAAAAGATGCATATTGAATAAATCTTGGTCGAGGTTTATGAACCAAAAAAGTTATCTGTTCATTTAACCAGTTTTTTATATCTGCTAATAAAAAATTATGACCAGCATTTCTACAAGCAACGTGGAATATGCTATGTTGAATGCGAACAAAGCCTGCATTCTGAAGTATATCCACGACTTGTCTATAGTGCCCGGAACTCGAACCAAAGGAAGCAGTTAGTGCTGTCGCACCTAAATCGTATTGTATTATCCAATTTCCATGGCGCAAACGGGCTTCATGTACGGTAGCCATTTTTAAGTTAAAAAAGTCGCGTCAAATTAAATCACGTGGGTGAAAAATTAGCAAAAGGTCAAGGGACCGTTTTGCGCTTAGTCAAATTTTCTTAATTTTCTTAATGTCTCGCGTCCCAGGAAAAGACAAAAGTACGGGAGACTTTTTTTGTGAATTTTCTATTACTTTGCTAAGCTATTTATATATACTTATGGACAGATCTCACAGAGCCAGATATTGGCGACATCTACAGAGATTCTCTAAAAACATATGAAGAGTATGACGCTTGTTTAACTACTACTATATACGGCGAAACATATTTGGACCCAGAAAAATGTAAAGCCAGAGGTTTTGACCCAATCAAGTGAGTAATTTATCAGCTTTGTTTTTTTGGTCTCTTTGCTGATGTGCCACTTTCTACAGAGCATCTGAGGAAGAAGAAGAAAGGACCAATTTGTCTGTGGAATGGATTGAAAGAACAACAAAAGAGAAAGGATTTCGCGCTCAATTCCAGGAATTTATTGCTAAAGTGTAAGCTGACATCTTACTTCTCTTAATTATAAAACGAAAGAAAACACAGTCTCAAGTAGAAACTAATGCCATCTCTTTTCATAGTCCACCAGAATATGTAAATAAAGATCCGAAATTTCTGGATTACTTGGATTACTCCCCAAAGAAGGGAAATAAGAGTGATAAAAAGCTATCAAAAAAGGTATTCATTTGTGAAGTGATATTTAGTGGAAAATGTTGTTAACTCTTTCTTAAAAATTTAGAAAATTCGTTCTTTATTGGTCAAAGCTTCATATCTTGTGGATCATAAAATCAAACTCGAAGATGGACTTTATGTCAAGGTCATTGCTGTAAAGATGAACAATGATAATGTTTTTTTAGAGGTGGAGGAAAAAGTGGGTGATGAGTTGGAATATTACGAAATTACGTATCAGCAAGATATGGTTGGATTATAATTTTTTATTATTTTTATCGATGCAAATAACTTCATTTCCACAAATGTTATAATTCTGATCATAAATATTTTTCCTGATTATCTAATGCTAAAAATTGTCGAAAAATAAATGCAAATGAAAAAAACACATCAATCAGAGCTTTATTAATGGTTTAATGAATTATCAATGCGTCTAAGTAAAAAAGCATCAATGGTTATCAACGCCAAAGCGAATTTATTGTATTTGATTTAGATAGACCAGAAGGAATTCGTTAAGATTCGATACGCCATTGAATTTGCAGAAAGAGATATAATTGAGACAAAAGAAAAAATAAAAAATGAACTAACAGATAGCTAATATTTAATAATTACATATTGCGCAGCAAGGGATCTAATCTATAATAGATTTAATTTGTTCCTTGAAATGTAGTCCGCACTATAAGATTTAATCCGCTTGATTTTTTTCACACCTACCCCGCTAAACAATGTAAAGATATTTCTCGCCTTCTGTGTCTTCTTACGCAGATATACCTCTGTAACACCACTAAGATGAGTCATAATTTCCTTATACACTTTATTTCTTGCCGTATGATCATTAACCCCCCCGTCATTCTCCTTAATCTCTTTAACCCGATTCTCGAATTCTTTCCCATAGTAATACCAGCAAGAAATCTCGTCTTGGTATGCTTTAGTCAAACGTTGTTCAGCTTTACTTGCCTTTTGATATAATCGAGCCAGACTCTGAGAAATCGGACCATCAAGTTCCTCACCTTCCTCGTTATCATCAGGGACACCTTTGACGGATGTAGATAGTTCCTGAATCAAACCCTGGAATTTATGAGTCTTAACACTAGTTTCACTATCCTGATCACGAGTAATCTTAGGAGATGTTTGTCCAGATGAACGAGTTTGAGTATCGTTTTTTTTCATAGTGATATTATCAGTCTGATCCTCGGAATTACTAGTATCCTCGATCACAATGGGTAGCCTGATCTTGTATAGAGATAGGACCATCTGCAATGGGGCTTGTTACTTGATCTTGTGTTGAAGCTTTATCCTTTCACTTTACTTGATCCACAAGAGAAGTATCCCTTATAATATCCAATTCTCTTATATACTCCAATTCTGTATCATCATCAATTACCATATCATTGCTTTGCTGAGATGCTTTTTTCTTAGAGTCAATAAGAGAATAAATCTTTGACACCATCTGATACTTGTCAGATGCAAGAGTGGCTTCCTCTCTAATAACTTTGATGTTTGTAAAACAGATAGGACAGCTAGGATGTGAAGGGGTCTGTGCATCTGTATGAATAATGTGTAGCTTGATACATATTTAATGGAATATGTATTCACAAGATAGTACAACAAATACTCCATCTTCTTATCTTTTATTTTCTATGTAATTGAGCTAAACCAAAATTAGAAGATGTCTAGAATGAAGGCAAATTATGTAAAATATTCATGATCATGATTGATCAATACAGATAAATTCTGATTGGTCAAGAGAGATAAAGATGATTAATATTATTATCTTTTTGATGCAAATTCTAAGATAAGGGCAAGTATTAAATCTAATATTACAAAAGCATGTGATAAAAGTAATCACGTGCTTAAAGTGATATTTGAGAGAGTTTTTAAAAGGTTTATTAACAAGAATATATCTACTATTATTTCAAAGTTAATCTAAAGGTAGGTAATAATAGTATTCTTATTATAACTAACTAGAATATAGTTCAATTCCAATATGTAATTTCAAGATAGATATAATGTTCAGTTTATTAATAAGATGAATTAATAGATCTTAATCAAGATCTATTTTACAAGAGAGATTTCTTAGAATTCTCTTAAAACTATAATCTA